ACCTTTCTTCCCCATACTGATGCTCGGTTTGAACTGCAGGAGATTGTCTTGACCATGTCTACATGCCTAAATGCACTAAGTTGCCGCCATGTGATTGGCTGATTAGAAATTAAGTGTTAACGAGCAGTTGGACAGGTGTACCTAATAAAGTGGCCGGTGAGTGTACATAGAGTCACGCGGGGGATATGAACCTTTATGTTAACTTTCAGTCATGAACAAAATGCATATGACTGAAAGTTTCTGGTATAGTTTTAAAGGGTGTTATAAAAAAACATTCATTGCAACGTTACACGAACGCATGCTCGCACACACACACACACACACACACACACACACACGCATCTTCAGCTCAGGGTTTTTCATTTGCTAGGGTACTTACGGTGGCCAGCATGGACCCCTACTACTAGGCAGTGACATAGTAACTGAAATATTACCCATATATACATTTTGTTGAAATTCAACACAGTTTCTCTCCAACTGGGTTACACATGGATCCATCTAGTCTATATAATGTCCTTACTTTCTATCATTGACATCGTAGCATTTCATTCCTTCAGTTAGCTGAATTTCTGTTTGTTCTGTGTGACAGTGGACAGTGTGCTGCTTTTTGCCAGAAGTGGAAATGAGACCACAATGAGCACCATCTTCTTGTAGTGTCTGCCCTGCTTTAGCTCAAATATGTACAGAGACCCAGGTCTTACTCCAGCTTTTTTTTAAAAATCTTTTTATGTTGTAATTAAATCTCTAATGTGTTTGAAGGTCTGAGCTCTTTGTTTTGAGCTGTAGAAAATAAACACAACTGTATGTATTTCCCAAGACAAATATAGTCCAACACTCAAAAATAGAAATCAGTGTTTATTAAACTGCACTGTTGTTTTCTAGAGAAAGCTGATCTGTTTTTTTACGGAGGCAATATAAAATGTCTGTCTCGATGCTGGTGCTCTCTATGGTAGCTTAGATTTGTCTTATCATATCCCCTTTCTGCATATCCAGCAGAATACGTGCACTGACTGTGTTTATGAGTCTTTGTGTTTTTATCATGCAAGAAACATGATATAAATGTCTATTTAAGCTCAGATAAATTAAAGTGTGTCTAACCTGATCCCCTGGGCGTTAGATGACTCTGAACTCTGGACAAGAATAACACAGCTTATCAAGCATGCACAAAGCTTGATTATACAGTACATGTGTATCCACGTACTATATATGCTGTATGAAGAGAAAGCTGCAATGTGAATATGAGATGAGATTAGATGAAAGGTTGTTTTTATGTTTTTACTGCTGTGCTAAAACTCATTTTCTTAAGATTTACTGTTTTTTTTATACATTTTACTGGGTTTTTCCTTCAGCTAAAGGGGAGATTAATATACATTGTGGCAGACATTAAATACAAAGTCTTTCTTCCTTAGCAGCAAATGAATAAGTCACTGTCAATAGCTGCAAATTTATAAAGACCCAGACACAAGCTTCAACTCTCCATAAACACAGCTGAAGATCACAGTTTCAAGAGAGAAATATGATTAAGTACTGCTTAATGTCTTACATAAGGATTCATGATTTTTGTCTGTGTGCAGGCTGACAGGCACTCTGGTGTGGGCTACTGTAGGTTACAGATGAAAACACAGGCATTAGAAAAACACCTCCCAGGGGGGACCATTTTAAAACTCTGTTCCGGCTCTTTTCATGGTTCCCTGTTTTATGAGGCTGCAGGGGCAAATGAATAAGTCACTGTGAAGGGTTGTGAATGTAACTCTCCGTACACAGATAACAGAATGTTGTCTAAACCTGCTGCCTGCTTAACAAGACGTCCAAAACATTCATAGGCAATGTTCTTTGTCATTCAACATGACAAATCAATTACACGTTATTGCCTACTGGCCTGGTACTTAGTCCTAGAAATATTGAGAAATATCTTTGCGATGAACATGAAAACTATACATGTTTGAATGCACCTTATGCTTTGATTCAAAAGAAGCCAAAGTCCGGGAGTCCTGCAATTTTCTTAGATTTTGTTCCAGATGTATAGGTCCCAAAACAAACCCTGCCTCTGCATATTTTGTCTCTGACTGTGGGAATGTTAAATGATCTGCAACTGATCTGCAAATGATCTTCATACAGAGAAACTGGCTGCAAATGCCAAAACAACACAACTTGAAAAAAACAGGTAAAAGTCCAAAACAAACACAGCAATTAAAATGCAAATATACGAATGATGCAAAGCAAAAATGCACAACAACAGAAAGCAGCTGCAAAAATTATGATAAAACTGCAGTGCTCTAGACCTGTGGGGGCACTGAGGGACCACCGTACTGAATAACAAGCAGACTGAAAACGAAGCTGTAAAATCTCTGATCATAATGCCCTGATCAATGAAAGAGAGATGAAATAGTGAGTGTTTCATTTGTTTTCCTTCACAACTGATTCATCTGCAATAAATATGCTTGAACAAATCCTCACTGACCTCACTGACCTTTTTCACTGTCTTTGGATTTTTTTTTTACTTGCTGTATGTTGCATGTGCACAGGGAAGAAGTCAGAACTTACATAAAAGACTTACAGAGCTAATCTTGGTATTTTAGCTGATACTTTTTCCCCATTCCTCCTCTGTTTCATTGCATCTTTCAGCGTAAAGGACCACTACTGCAAACTCCTATTGTTTCTATATGCTTTATAGACAATCATCAGTATTGTGAATTTGCTCTCTGTTATAACCTCATTGAGTTTACCTTTCCATTCACAGTAACAGCTGCCCCCTCTGGAAGTTGTGCAGTGGCTGTAAAGTTACAGCAAAGAGTAGACAGAGGGTGGGAAACACAAACTTAATTAGGTGTGTCGACAGTCTGCAGCTCTCCTCACGCTAATTAAAGAAAAGTTTCACCCTCAGGCATGGCTGGAGGGAGAAGTCAGGGTGGTTGTTCGTGAATAATTCTGTTTTGTCATTGGAGTCATTCATTTCTCCAAGTTTAAATGATTTCTCACAATAAGAGGAGCTTGAGGCTAATTAGCAAAGTAACAGTTTTATGGTTTTTCCAATCCTTGTGATATAATGGAGCTTTTCTAGTCTGTTCAAATACCACAATTAGACATTAGCTAATTAATGATTTGCCATGAGTTCAGTCTATCTGTTTTTTTGTTTTTTCTTTTTTTTTTGGCAGACAGTTTATAGCTTATTCAGCATGTCTTGAATCAGCTTCACAACAAGTAAAATCAAGTTTGTATTTGTGTCTTCTCTCCAAGAGTTATCATTGAAAAAATAAGAACTCATCCTTTACTCAAGGTTGATTCATTGGGCTGTTTTAAGCCACTGTCAAGATTCATGAACATGGAGTTACTTTCTTTTTTTTAGGGTTCTTCTGTGACTCAGTTAGCTGCAGAACCTGAGGATTTCCTCGTTTAACACGGAATGATTGAAATCTTTGCTTCTTCATCTTTGTGGAACTGAGCCATGGGCAATAACTCCAACACTCATATCCTTGTTGCCAAATGCAATCAGCTAAGTCTTGCAAAGTCAGAGTTATTGCAGGTCAAAGGTTAAAGTATCCAGCTAATGATTGGAAGTTTGCCAGAGTGAATACTTTTTTAGGAGTGATGAAATCAAATGGAGCTGAGTTTGCAGTCATTGAGGAAATCTGTGTAAAGCTAGACAGATCCCAGCTATTACTGCAGAGTGCTGTCGTATGCAGGGATTTGGAATAAGGCACAGCCAATGGTAGAGCATGACTTCCATGCAAAACAGGAGGAAAATAAGTTTCTTTCGCATTCTGAGAGTAAACCTCTCAATTTTAGATCAAACCGTTTAGGGACCTTCATGGGGATGTTTTCTCTCTGAATTTGCACCGGCATGGCGATGGCTGATATGAACCTTAAAGAGATATAAACAGTTCAACAGTTGTTTGTGCTGCATCACCTTCACAACAGGACTGAATGTATGCTAGAAGATGCTGAGATGGGAGTGGTGTGTTTTCTGTGTGTGTCTGGGTGGATTAATGTCACTGAGTTTGAGAAAGAGACGTCCAAGCCATGACAGCTTTCACTCGTAGCATTTAGAGATTACATTTGAGCTTGTCTGTCCTTATGTCGCCCTCAAACCAACTGGTGATGATTGTGTGGTTGATTCAATAAATACCAGTGCAAGTAACACCTTATTACTTTCTGCTAATGTTCTATAAAGTTACATTGTTGGATAAATATGTCTGAAATTTTCCTTATTTCTAATCCTTTGAGATCAGTTATCAACGCTTATTTATTGTTACTTTGCTAATGTTGGATCTGAAACAACTCTTGTGTTCAACCAATCAATATTGATCACTTATGAACTGATGTCCATGCACTTGGGCCACTCAAAGTCCTTGTGCTAGGAGAGTACCCACACTGTGGAGTATCCACCAGTTTTTAGAAGCATTGGTCCTAAAAACTGTAGTTTTCTTGATTGTCTCTTGAGTCTGGCACCGTCACAACCATTTACAACAGCCCAATTTTGTGGCAAAAATAAACATACTTACAGACTTTTCAGACATTATTCTTTTATTCTGAATCTTAAAAAGCTCTCCACGTCACAGAGACAGTAATTTCCTTTTTGACAGGGTCCCCATCTGCAGTGTAGGCAGGCCAAAGAATGGTTAACAGAGGGGGAGAGTAATGTGAATCATACGCTTTCGCCTTCATGGCCTCTGTATTAACCCCACTTACACACCTGAGAGACTGTGGATCAAGCTTTTCACCTCACACATTACAAACTGGAAGAAATATCCTTCAGCAGGATGTGGTTAGCCTTACAGTTCAGCTTTGCAGATTCTGAGGTACAGCTACAGAGTCCCTAACTCTGAAAACATGGGAATGATGCTCAACAACTCTGAAACCCAGGCAAGAAGTTCATTTTCCACTTGTAAACTTCACATTCTAGTTGTCATCAACGTGGCAGCCAGATAATAAAGAAACTTTTTTAACAGTCCACATCAGCTTTTTGCTTAAGCTTAATTTTAATTATAGTGTACCGATCCACATATAGTGACCTCGATTTGTCAGAAAAGTTAGTCATTAGTGTTACTATGGTGAAAAGTCAGGTATGTCAACTTATATAACCTTTTTTTTTTCTTTTTTTTTCTTTGGGTGTCTTTTTGCTGTTTGTGAAATGAAGGGAGATAGAGAGAGGGGGGAAGAAATGCGAAATGCGTGCGGTCCCCGTGCATGGGGGTTGCTAACCTGCTCGGCCAGCTGCGCAGCCCTAGCTTAAATAACCTTTTAAGTTGGAACTTGATTTTAAGACCTACTCTGATGAAAATCATGGTTTTCTTGTTACATGTTTATCTGGCATTTTTCTGATTCTAGAGGACATATTATGAGAAAAGTAACTGCAAAATTGCATTTCTGAGGATTTCGTCATTCAAATCACAGTGAACCCCTCACAGACCCAAGCCACAGGTTGAGACACAGTGAGATTTCCTACGTCACAACTTCAAGCTCCGCCCTCGCAGCCTGCTATGCAGGCCAGACTCAGAGAGGTAGAGAGGACAACTGTGGAACAAGCGGCTGCGTTAGCAGATTGCAATGCTGGTAAGCAAGCTAATCATGAAATTAGCTTTCATCCTGTCCCTAAAGACATTAATGTCCAAGAGCTGAATAGCTCCTATGTTACCTGCTACTTCTACTACACCGGCAATGTTAGGAAGCAAGCTTGCGTGAAGAGGAGTGTACAGAGCAGTGCTGTCCCCACCCAACTTAGAAGTGAATCGCTGATGAGCTACTAGAGCTCTGCAGAAGAAAAGCCCTTGAAATTACACAGGTAATTTGATTTTGGCTAAAAACTTCATAATCACAATTTAAAGGACACTAAGAACACTTTAAATAGTAAAGAAAAAATGCCATCAGAGTGGGACTTTTACAGTCAGGTAACATTAATTTTGATTGTCTGAATTTTGAGCAGATGAAAAAAAAAAAGCAGGAAGAACAAGGACAATCCAAGGAGCAGATGAATGCAGCAAGTGAGTCAGAGCATGGGGACGCAGGTGGTTATCAAACCTCTGGTCTTGAGGAAACAAAGCCGGTACTAATGTGCAACAAGCTGTTGTTTTGTGATTGACAACAACAGAAGCACCTAAAACCACATACACACTGAGCAAAGAAATGCCTGATTTTTGCGCAAAATCAAACAAGTTTATAAGCTGGTTTTAAAAATGGTTTGATTAGCTTACTGCCCTCATGGCACCTTCTGTACAGGGAGGAATTTTTTGCAGCATGCTGATTTTGGTGTTTTCAAGGTTACAAGGTTGGCAAATCAGAGGCACAGCTGTGTTGACTGACAGGCAGGCACAAAGTAGCTATTTACAAAGAGGCTAAAAGCCGGGCTCTTGTGGGTTGACCAAAAGTGAGGTCAAGTCCACCTATCCATCCATCTTCTACCCCTTATTCGGGTCAGATCACAGGGGCAGCAGTCTAAACACGTTCTCTTTCTCAGCACAGTTGCCAGACGGTCCCGACCCTTGGCAAGTGTTGCGCTGAGCCCTGCAGAGGATGTGGCATTCTCCACACTTCCTCAAATAAGCATAGAGGGATTTGGTGTCTGTGAGGTTGGACCCACAGGTAAGACAAACATTATTTTCCACAAATAAAGACACTCACATGAAGTAGCATACACTGTATTTAACCACGTGTTTCAAAGGTGTGTTGTGTGCACAGGTAACATAAAAAATGCCATGCGTGATGGGATTAAAATTGGAACCACCTGTGCGTAAAGGACGCATCATGTAAAGGATGTTTTTTTTCTTCTTCCACTAATGTTTGCATGTGAAATGAACTTGGCTCACACAATTTATTATAACTGATTTATTCCAAATGAAAGTGTCTTTAACTGTGTTATTCACATTTTAAAAAGAAATCACTAATATGATCACTAAAATAAAGTATTTGGGCAGAGGTGGCGGCAGCAACTCTGCCCACAGCAGGTCAGAGAGAAGGAGGAGGAGGACGAGGACAACCAGGGGGGTCCGGTGCCAGAGACCCAGGAGGAGAGGTCAGGTCACAGATCTGAGCTGAGAAGGCAATGGCGGGGACATGTCCAGGTGCAGGAAGAGGACCGGCTCTTCCAGGTGTCGGAGAAGGAGCTGGGGGCAATGGGGACTCATCTTGAATTACTGGAGGCACAGGTGAAAACTCTGCAGGAGGTCCTCCAGGCCAGCCTGCTCCCCTTGGCCTCTGGTGCTGCCTCCTTGGGTAGACTTGTAGATGTTGCTGAAAGGCTGCTGACTATTCAAGAGCCATCCACCGCCCCCACCTGTCCCAGTTAGCCATTGAGGCCACACATGAGAGGGGCTCTCTGGGTCCATTGACAGCAAGGAAGAGGAGGAGGAGGAGGAGGAAGGGGGGTCGGAGGGAACATCAATAAAATTTATTGTTAACACCATCATGTGTGTCTATTTATTGGATATTTAATGTGGATAATTACAAATTTTCAAGTGTATAAATGAATGGAAGAAAATACTCACATTTAGGTGCAGAGTTGTGCAGTGAGGCGGTCCCTCCTCTCCCCAGCGCTCTGCTGCTCTCCCTGCTGATGTGGCACATGCAATTCAGCCCCTTTGTCTTAGGTCCAGTAATGTGTCCTCAGTAAGGTTATAGTGGCATCCTTGAGGTATAGATATGTTGTGTAAAACACAACATGCCACAAAGAATGCACTGACACGCTGAGGGCTGTAGGTTAATGAACCACTTGACCGGTCCTGACATTTGAAAGACATTTTGAGTATTCCAAAGGTGCATTCAATAACTGATCTAGCATGACTGAAGACACAATGTCTTGTTGAAGGTGTAATGTATGGCAACATCAACCACGTTTTCAGTGGATAGCCATTATCACCTAGCAGCCACCAATCCAGAGGGGTGTCACCCTGAAAGACTGTAGGGATGATAGAATTCGCCAGGATGAATATGCAGACCCAGGGTAATTAGGATATACTTTGTCACCAGGCAATTTGAGTCACAAATCACCTGGATATTGATGGAGTGGACTCCTTTTCGGTTAACATAAATGCGGGCTTGGGTCTCTGGTGCCTGCAGCTGCACATGTGTACAGTCAATTGCTCTTAGGACCCCGGGGGATCCATATTTCAACAAGAACTCTTGCTTTGTTTCCAGATAGCTTGCAGGTGTTGATGGTAAAATGAGGTGCTCATTTGCGTGTCGGACTAGACTGTTGGACACTGCATGTATGGCTAAACTGACAGCAGCCTGACTGATCTCTACCACTGAGGCCAAGGTATGTTGAAAAGACCCGGTGGCCAAGAATGTCAGAGCCGTTTTCCCCCTTATAGCAACTGGGAGAGCTCATGGTGCAGCTGAGGCCACAATGCACGTTACTGCATGGACCACCTCATGGGACAGGCGTAATTTATTCCCGTGTCAAGAAAAAGAGTGGATTGTTAAAAGGCAATTGCATTGAACACTGTGTGCAACTCAGTCTACCAAATTACCAAACTGGCTGTGCGAACTAAAATACCATTGCGCGGGATGCACCACCCTCCGCCGCATTGCTGGCGGGGTTGAAAATAGAGCCCATGGTCTCTCCAGCAAGTCCTGATACACTATATTATAAATTACAATACATTTTGTAATGTTTGTCAAAAGAGTCCCAAGCTTCGGTATAAACCAGCCATTCACTTATCTGTGATTTAGCAGTATCTCTCTGTCGTACAGAACCACTTCAGAATGACGAACAAAACATGCTTAATGAGACCAAAGAGATTTAGTTAGATTTCTTTAAATCAATTTAACAGGGTGCCGTTCCATCATCTAATACAGAGCTGAGTCATGCATCTTACTAAGAGACTCCAGGATGATTATGAGAGACATAAATGAAGCTGAGGGGATTATTTCCCACAAAAGGCTTGGAAACACCTGAGCATCCTGCGGTAAGAGCTGCCCTGCCTCCTGTGACACAGACTCAGATAAGTGGATGAATATAGATGGATGATTGACAGAGGAGGGGGTATTTAGACTCCATTAATGCTGTTCACCATAAGATCAGTAACTAGTGATGTGCACTCAGACTGCTGTATGCTCTTCTTTTTCTGGAAATTGATTGCTGGAAAAAAACAAATGAAGTCAGAGTTTATGAGAAGGAAACCCCATCACATTATTTCCATTAATGTGCTTAAATGTGCTTTTTTCCCATTTGATCCTGATAAAATTGTTGGCCTGCAGTTGTGAAGTAACAGCAGCATCAGCTTTTTCATATAAGCGTTGATCTAAGAGAAAGCCTGATGTTGTCCGAGTCAAGTCAAGTGATACCAGAGGAACTCACGAAACCATATACACTCTCAGAACAATGTGAAAAGACTGAACGATCCCTGACAACTTTACTGAGGCAGAGGTAGTGCTTTATATGCAGCCATGAGATTAATGTTGAAGTTGTTCAGTCAGCAGCATACAGACAGCAATGCACAACACAATCAGAATAAGAGCGTAAATGAGTGTGTTTCTTTTTAAACACACTGCAGCACACTTTAAAAGTCTGCTGCTCAGGTTCACAATTCTGTGTGAAGTGATTCAATTCAGCCGTCCAGATAGATTGTTTGTTGATAAGACCCTTCTGAAGGAAAGAGTGTTTGTGGCACTTTCTGCCAAACTAAAAAGTAGTACATGAATAAAATGTCAAACCACTTTATTTTGCTCAGTTTGCTTCATTTCTGTCTGCCCCAGGCAACTGTTGTAATACTGCCATGCAACACTGTGCAGGAACATCCAAGGGGATTGTCAGTGCAATAAAATATCTGTCACAGAGGCTGATCAGAGACTCAGGTGCAGACAACAGAGAGACACAGCAGACAAGCAGATCCACAAAAAAAGTATTGATTCAGAACTCTAAATTTCCAAAACAGATAATAACACAGGCATTAGAGGTAAGCTGATAAAGCAGGAAAATAAAAGAACTAAACACCCCTAAAAGGAAAACTACTGTCTGGAGGGAAAAACTATAACTAAGGAACGTCCACAAACAAAAATCATCCAAGCTAACTGAACTCAGAGAAGCTAAAGTTTCTAGCAGCTAAAAAAACAGACTTACAAAACTAATCAGGCAACAAACTGAACAGAAAATAAAACGCATTACTAGACTAATAACTACCCTGGCTTGAGCAAACCGACACAGATAGCAAGTAGAGAGCCTTTGTGCGGGATCAGTTTAGGGAGAGGGTAAGGGACGGCAGGCTGAGGAGGGGTGTGGCATAGCTTAGGGATTTAGAAGTCCAGCAGGTGAGCAGGATGAAGCAGGCGGGTTGGGCTGGAAACTTTAATAATTAAAAAAGAAAAAAATCCAATCAAAATCAGTTCACTAACCGTGTTTTTACAACGGTCCGGATCTGAGTTGTGGCTGCGGTCTGGTTTTTTGGCAGAAGCTGGCGCATCTGGTGATTACCAACTGCCTTCACCTGTCTGTGTTGCACACACCTCACTCACATCCACCTGGGGAAAAGGAAAGGAGAGAAGGGAGAGGCTGCTGCCAGCTAAAGGGCATGACAATATCAGGGAATGTAAATTAACTTTACTGGGATGAAATCTTAACAGGAACGTCAACCAACATTATCCCAGCACATGGACCAGCAACTCCACTGGAGGAGGTCAATGAGGAATCCGTATGACATTAATATGCTCAAAGCAAAAGGCCTGGTCACATGAGAGAGAAGGATGGGTTTCAGGCCTGTAGCTGGGTCAAGCATCATGGGTTCATAATTCCCATTTCATGATTATTAGTTTCTCATGCCATCTGCTAACTGAAGAGGGGTCTCCCTGTGTAACACCATGTCCTCTTGATACACAGCTTAATGTCTCCTTGTTTTAGTCCTAACCACCATTTAGTGTCACCATGGACATTATACAGGGTAAACATTTGTTAGCAGACAAGATAACCTTGTGTAGATAAAAATGCAGTTTCATTTATTGAGAGAAAAAAGCTATCCAAACCAACCTGGGTTGGTGTCATCACCCCTTAAACCTGATAGCTGGTTGTTCCCCTCTTGGCAGCATCAACTGCAATCAAGTGTTTGCAATAACTCTTAGTGAGTCTTTCACATCCTTCTGGAGAAGTTCCCACTCATTTAATTCAGCCATACTGGGGGGGTTCCAGCATGACCAGCCTGTTTGAGGTCCACCACCATTTGTGACTGTGGGTCTAATGGTGTTTTTCTGAAATGCTGTTAGTTTTACTCCAGATATAACTGGATGCAGATGCTCCAGAAAGTTTCACTTTTGTTTGGTAGGTCCACAGAATATAATCCCAGAGGTCTTTGGGGTCATCAGGATGTTTTAAGGCAAATGTGACAGGGGTCTTTTTGGTCTCTGTGGTTTTGGCCTCAGAGCACTCCCATGGATGCCATTTTTGCCCATTCTCTTTTTTATTGTTTAATCATGAACTTGGACCGTAACCGAGTCTCATGAGGCCTGCAGGGTTTTGGATGTGGTTCTGGGTTCTTATGGAAACTCCAAGATGAGTCCTTAATGTGCTCTTGGATTAATCTTGAATAATTAAACATGATCCAAAAAAATGCAAAGAATTGCCTGCCTTATTTTGATGCAAGGTGCACCACATGTTAGTCTTCATTGGATTCTGTCCTGCGTGAAAAATGAAAGTGTGATTTTTCAATGGCTGTGTGTGTGTGTGCGTGCGTGCGTGCGTGCGTGCGTGCGTGCGTGCGTGCGTGTGTGAAGCACACTTCAGAGTGAGAGTACACATTGGGTAGCTGGTGTCAGTCTCTCAGTCTGGAGGTTTTTTACAAGTGCAGGGCTGAGAGGCAGCAGGCAGGTGTGGGGGAAGCAGTTGGCATGTTTTCATCTTGCAAACCTGCAGATGCCCTATACCAGAAGCAGTCAAATGCCATACATAACTCCATATCTGTATCAGCAGATCCACCCCTTTTTCTTTTTCAGTTTGTAGCACTGCGCAGAATGTCCCTGTGTCTAACAAGCAGAGGAAGCTCTTTGTTCTCAGTGGGAGATGGAGCAATTTGTGTCTCTCGAAATGCTCATCAAAAGGAAAAATGGAAATTTTGTGCCCAGTATTTCAGTTTCCAGTTCATACATTTTACCTTTTTAGAGAAATAAGTGGAAATGACTGGCTGCAATGCAATTAAAATCTTCTTTGTTAGGATCTATGATTGCAACGCTTTCAAACATTTGGCTCCCTGGCAGTCAGGCGTGAGCAGTCAGGGGGGTAACTCCTCCAGTCAGAACCACACAGGGACACTCTTATCTTCACACTAGAGGTGGGATTTATGGCTTTCTGAAGGGAGCTGGATCTTGAGGACTGTTCCTTTGAAAAAGACATTCAAAAGACGGACTTGTTGTTATATTTGTTTATTTTTTAGAGGTCAACCAGGGGTAAGTCTTATAGAGACTTGTATCATTGTCACTTGTAGCAGTTATGAGATACGGTATGGATCAGAATTTCAAATTTACAATACCCACCAATACATACTCTATTATTGGGAATTATTCAAAAATATTGATTATAATTTCATTTGGCTTGTGTTTTTAAAGTAAATGTTCCATAAGTTAGTGCCATACTCCTACGCTTTGACAGTGAGATCACTATTTTGAATTTTTCCCTCACCTGAAAACTTTGTGGCACAATAACAACTATGCAGGCTACAGTGAGACATGTTTGTTTTTTGTGGCAGGAATGGTTTTTCTGGAAGAGGAAGGACCCAGGGCAGATAATGATGTGGGCCAAGTGGTGTCTGAGGGAGGGTCAGGTGATGCTGGTGCCAAAGAGAGAATGAAAGTAGCCTGATGTTGAGGCAGAACCTGCGGAATCAGTGATGTCATCTGCATTAGCGCCGGAGTCAGTCCCTTTTTTTCTGACATCTGACACTATTACTGCCGGGTGCTGAGTTTTTATTTTGCCATGTAAGTTGTTTGTTGACCCGGACTTGAAAGAGATGTTTTTTCTGGCAAATATTGCATTGTGCTCTACCTTGCGTGTTGTCCCTAAAAAAGGGCACTTAAATGATGCTGGGTTTTTGTGTTCTCTTTTTCAGTCGCTCCTAGCTGCTCCTCCTCTCCACTGCAGTAAATGTGGCTCTAGTCTCCAGTCAATCGGAATCAGGCGGCAAGGCCAATCTGCACATAAGAACGGCTCACAAATGAACAGCTTGAGTTCTGGTGTTTATCATTCACTTAAAAGAGCTGTTCAATTGACTGACTCCTCAGATCTTTACTTCACACCTGACCCACAGACAAAACTGTCTTTATGATGACTCCAAACTTCAGCCACAAGTTTGAAATAGCCTGTTTGTCTCCTCAAGTTATGAATAAGTGCTCTCTACCTTTACTTTTTCTGTTCACTGCTGGCCATACAGCAACAATATTCATTACATTTTATTTCCTCTCTCACTTTATATAATTTATTCTGCTTTTAAGTGCATTTTGTTTATTATTGTATATTCTATTGTTTCTCCTGGCCCCTCCAGAGCATAATGAAATGTGTCTGTTTTTGTAACCTGCCTCGACTGAGATTTAAAACCACAACAACATTCACTTCTTTCTACTTTGTTCCCTTTTTTCTTGTTGAATTATCAGGACGAAACAAATCAATTTAGAGTTTCTAGAAAAGTATTGTGAAATGTTCCCAAAAGGATCATTTACCCTAAAAGACAACCAGACTCAAGTCATATGGGGATATCAGCTCCGTCTGGGCCAGTGCACATCAAAGATTTTCCAGCTCATAAAAATTAGATGAACCCTATATCCTGAGGGTCTTTGTGTGAATGTACACTGCAGTACCAAGACTCCTCTGTCCTCCTCTGTTTGTCTTTACAGTTGTTTGACTGCTGCACAATGTACAACTTTCGTTTGCACACAAATCCCATTTATTAGAGACATTTATTAGTGAGAAGCTTGGGACTGAGTGTACTGAGCTGAATTCATGTAGAATGAAAAGGAGTTCTTACACAGCCAGGAGACAGAAGCAGACCAGACTCAGAACATACTTTCCTGTCAGCACAACACATGACCAACAAGATCATCCACTGACATTAAGGTCTCCTGGGTGAGAACATTAAGTTTCTCTGTGCACAAAGACATGTGGATCAGACCACAGCAGTTTGAAGACACTGTTCACCAGCAGTCGGGTGCGTTGATGGAAACACATCCAACTTGTTAAGTTATTTGAAGGGTCACCACACGGAGGTAAACATGACTGCCATGAGGAACAAAAAACCCTTTTGACAGCCTCTGACTATCAAAGGTTTATTTAGGATTTTCTTCATCATTCGTGAAGACACTAATGACCCCATGTTTTGTAGCTGTTTATGACATAAGTATGTTTCCTAATTTTCACTTTTTTACAGTACCATCAGGACTTTCATGTGCTGTTATGATTATTCATGGATTGTGTGGTAGGAGTGACTCCAAGTGCTCTTTTAAAGTTTTTTTTTTATGTCTTTTATTTTTCAGTTTATGAGTCAGATCATCTTTGATTTCACTGTGAAGTCAAGGACAAATTCAGCAGAGATCATCTCAGCCTGTAATGTAATCCAATAGTAATTTGTGAGCATTTCACTCCTTTTTCAGTGTTTTTTGAGAAAATGACCCTGTGGTAGGGCTGTTCGTTGAAGCTGTTCATGGTGATGAAGCTGTTCATTGTGACTGGTTGGTATGAACTAACTGTCACCTTGTCACTTTTGTCAGTTCTGGGTGTAAAAGTATGACCAATAACAAAACATTAAATATAAGTCAAAATTAACTCTTAAAATAACAGCAAGTTGGAAAAAGGTTGAAAATATGCTTTAGTTCACAGATTTTATAAAAAGCAGCGTGGACTGTTCTCCTAAAAAGACTGAAGATCTATTATCAGACTATTGGCACAACAGTAATGAGGCTAACTCTGATACCATGACGCTGTCATGCTAACTGTCCATGAAAAAGTGTAAGATTGACCAGGTTTCTTATCTCAACTGTGCCAAAATGAAGTAAAACTATACTACTAGGAGGTTATTAGACTTTGAGGAAACAGGTCATTCATCAGATAATTGACCAGATCACAATTCTTACTTCGTTGTTGAAATTATTAAAAAAATGTCAAACTCAGGGAGTGTCAGGCAGTCACTAAAAAAACCAAGAGTCATCCTCTAGAGAGAAAATGATCCCTGCAAGCATTACAACCTTCAGTTGTTATTCATTAAATCAATTTTCTGATTGGGACAAATGTATGACAGCATTTTTGGTGCTAAAGGTTTGTGTATCTGTAACGTGATTTGTAGTTGTGTACAGTAAATGTGTATGTGTATTAGTGAATGTGAAATCCGCACTCTATGAGTTGTGTATTTGTAGATTTTTTGTGTTGTACTTGTAGATTTTTTTTTTATTTCCACAAGAACAACACAACATTTACACATTCACAAATCTTAATTACAGATGCACAAATCCTATTTTACAAGTCGCAGATTCAAACTCTGACACGCTCACATTTTTGCTCCTATTGTTGCAGCATATTTGGTGCAAAACATATTTGTGCACCTGTATGGAGCAATGTGAAGTTGTGAAAAAAAAAAAAATTATGTGCAGATCTTTATGTGAACTTGTGCCAAAAATGTTACATTTATGTACAATAAGCTTTCACGAAAATAGTTGTGTTGTTTTAAAACACAAATACAAGTCACAAATTGTGCTTCCGACAGCTACAAGCGTGAGCGTGTCAGAGTTTGAATCTGCGACTTGTAAAATAGGATTTGTGCATCTGTAATTAAGATTTGTGAATGTGTAAATGTTGTGTTGTACTTGTGGAAATAAAAAAAAAATCTACAAGTACAACACAAAAAATCTACAAATACACAACTCATAGAGTACGGATTTCACATTTAATAATACACATACACATTTACTGTACACAACTACAAATCACGTTACAGATGCACAAACCTTTTGCACCAAAAATACCTTCATACAAATGAATTAGTCATTGCTCCACAGTGTAAAGAAAACAGATGCCATGCATACAGGTTAATTTGTTCCTGTTTATACATGAAAACTGACAAACTCAGTCAACTACATTTCTGTAGACTGAGGCAGTGATGCTATATGACAGGTTTCTGGCCCATGATTTTTAATGCCTGAATCGTGACCTTAACAGTAAGATGGTTGTTTGTATGGCCCCAGACAGTTGTGCAGTAACACAAGTGAGAAAAAAAATCTTCATGTTCAAAAACAGCTGCGCTGCCTTGAGGGGTCTGCATACATATGGTAATGAACCTTCTTGCACCTGCCAGGTAAATTAATTATAGACAAAGTGAAAAGTAAAGGGCCAAGAATTGAACCTTGTGGAATTCCCATGTTGCAAGTCCAGACAGATGACTGGGTGGAATTGTCCTAACACACTCCTCTCTGTTCTCAATGTATATGATCTGAACTGAGTTACTGCATCAGTTCAGAAATTAAAATTTTTTAGAGATTCCATCCTTATTCAGTGACTGCTGGATAAAGGCAGTATCAGTAACAGTGTATGCCTGGATAGAGGTAGTAACAGTCTGGATGCTCTGCTGGGTACCCTGATCTAAACCCATATTGTTTGGGACATTAAAAAAATTAACTCTCTGGGTCAACAATTAACTGTGTGGCAACTGTTTTTCAAAAATTATTGAGAGAGGGTAAAATAGAAATTGGTCCATAATGAAATACCTCATTATGTGCCCCTGTTGTTTGTTCTTCGAGCACTTTTTATTTAATGCTTTTTTATTGGCCTTAGCATCCTGAATGACACAACAGCGACATAAAAAACAAATGAGCAAAATTTTTCGAACTGCATCTATTCCTTCATACATTTAAGAGCAATTTATGACAAGTCAGATTGAGAGGATTGGTTAATTTTATGTGTATATAGTGTATTTAGTGTGTGATGCTGTGGTTAATGAACTCTTCTTCTGCAGGAACACACTGTCCTATAAGTAACTGTCATGAAAAGGTGGACACAAATGCAGGATACCAAGGCAGTCAGTCAAAAGGCACAGGTTTATTTCAAAAACAAGATCGGTACACAGAGAGGCAGTCAGATCAGGCAGCAGTATCCAAAAACGTAAGGCAAAAGGGCAAGATCAGAAAAGGCAAGCGAGGTTCAAACATGGAGAGACTATGACTATGACTATAATTATGAAAGAGTGCTGGTCCGAAAACTGTGGTACAATGAACTGGCGATGAGACAGTGAGAGATATGAGGTTAAATACATGAGGTAATTAAGGGTGATGGGGAGAGACAATCGGGAGACAGGTGTGACAAGATGGGGCAGGGCAGGCAGAAACACATCTGAAACAGAGACAACGGTTAATGACTTCAAAATAAAACATGGAGGACATGATATAAAATATGAATATCTGAGAAATAAAGAAAACTGAACGGACATGACAGTAACTGGTGTTTATAGAATTTCTGATTCTCTGTTGGTCAAATTACCAGACAGACATTCACACATCAAACATGACTGATCATATTCATGTTTTTAACAACAGCAACCTTACGTGTGTGCTCATTGAGAGCACACCTCTCTGGGTCTGTGTGCACTTTCATGGATGAACACAGTGGGGATAAATACCACCATTATAACAGATGTGCCCCCTTAAGGTGTGTTCCAAATGATCACTCGCACATTTTGGGCCAATATCATCTAAAAATGTTGTTGGAGTGCTTTTATTTTAAAATGGCAATACTATATATATTCAAATATATACTAAATATCCTCAATTGTTCAACTGTAATACATCAAACATGTACATAACAGCTGTAAATAAATGACACTGGTGTATATATCTTTTTTAACTCTGAGTTTCTTCATCCTTCAATTTCTCTTTTTGTATTTACTGTATATGCTGCTGTAATTTGAGACTCGTGGGACTGATAAGGAAATATCTTAACTTATCTTACATGGACTTACATTGATCAATCACTCAGAAGTTGAACTAAAGCGGCTGTATTAAGTCTCCTATTTGGCTTTTTCTGTCTATCAATATCAATGTTTTGCCTATTTTTGTAAAGTGAGCAGTTAAAAGAGATATATTAGCCCCTCCTTTATTTGCTCACCTGCATGTAGTAAATCCCATCAGGACACAACACCATCAGAACAAGGCTGGTAGTGTTTTAATAGTTCATTTTAAACCCCTAAAACTGCCATGAAGGGGGAGATGTCAGACCAGATCACTGACAGCTGGCTTTAAAAAAAACACTTTCTTTACATTTTCAATGGCAAATACTTACAATGACATATTTGTCATGGATAGAATACATCAGCATGAGGTTTTGGTCTAAAATATGGGGTATCACACAATGTGCAAAGGGTGCAAATATCAACACAAACCAATAGTTCCTCATAGCAGCTTTATATTTGTAGCTGGGATATCAGTTTTGGTCTCTTATTTTCTCCTCCATCCGTAAACTGGAGTAAGTGTCAGTGACATCACCCATTCGTTGAAAAAAAAACAAAAAAACTCCATGTCCCCCCCCCCCCATATCCTGAACCTCAAACACTCTGTAAAGATAAGATATCAGTTTCAGGATAACAGCCATTTTAGACATGCTACGTATCAACCCTTGCAAGGACATTTCAGTTTGTGTCAGTTAGTCCACAATCATTGAGGACAAACCGGTATTTCTTATTTTTTTTCATTTTTCATTACCTTCTTATCTGAGAGGTAGTTCTTTCATGATCCTGCGCTTGTCCAGATTGCATTAAAAAAACAATCATCTTGCTTCCTTTGAACCATCAAACATCCCATTTTTGCTTTGAACAAAGGCTGTTTCAGCAGCAGGCTGTGGATTGCCTCATCTCAGCAGAACAGGCATTAAAATTACTTATAATAATAATTAACCTTATCTGTGACTCTTCAGACTGTAGGTCATATAGAGACATCAGAGTTTGTAAGAGTTTGTCTCATAACAGCCAGAAACTGAAGGGGAAGTCCAAAAGCTGGAGGCCTTAACAGAAAGATACAAGGAGCAGAGGTGATTTCAAGAGCTTTGCATTTTGACACTGTTGGCACAAACAATTAGATGATGCTGCCCTCTGCTGCTTCAGCTCTTACACTGCATGTTGGGGGGGCAGGTCCAAAGCACAAGACTACAACATATTTGTGAGGGGTAAGTAGTCGAGATATTTGTGTTTTTACAGAATAATTGCACTCTTGAGGCTCTACATAATCATTTGATAGTGTGGGACAAGCGTTGTGTTAATTCATGTTTGTATTTTGGATTTATTTTTTAATCCAGTCTATTATAAAATGTGTGTGTCTGTGACCTGAAAACTCTTTTATAGCCTTGTTAATGTCTTACAAGACTTTTTATGAGGTGGTCAGTGGAGGTGAAAACAAACTGGCTTTTATACTTTTTACACATCAGTTATAAATGGATAATAAAGAGACAAGATATGACGAAGAAACTACAATAAATAGAACCAGAAGATGAAACGAGCCTAAATTAAACTGAAGGTGTATAGGGAACTTCAGGCTGAGTTCATATCAGTGCAAGGGGTCAACTTTTGCTTGGCTTTCTGGGAAATTGGTTTCATCCACGTCTAAGATGGCCCACTGTCCAGAGAGTGTACACTACATTTCCCATAGTTCTTTGCGCCAGTGGAGTTACATGCTGCTCTGTACGGAGTCCGTGCTGCAGCATTGGTAAATGTGGTCGTCATATAGCACAAGCATATTTGTATGGCCGAAAGGATAAAGAGGGTCAATTTAAGGTTGACCTCCACACTGAGCTTCAGACGTAAGTATTGTCTGTGTTGTGTGTCTCACCTGCATGTTTTAGTTGTATTACTTCGTGACATCTTGTTCCTCCGTTGCTGATGAAGTGCGGCTAGCTAACAGGCTAACGTTAGAGGTAAAGTTGGCAGCTGTTCAGAGTCTGGCCTTTGCAAACCCGCCTGCCAGACAGTGTCTAAAGAAGAACCGATTTAATGAGATAAATGGCTCTTCAGTGTAGCTTCTGCTGTAACAGGACAGATGAACTGAACATCGACTCCTTGTCCTCCAGCCTGGACCAGCCAATGTCAACCTGATGTCAGCAGCCTAGAATAGATGTCACTGCGAAGTTAGCGAGAATCCAGCGGTCTACTTCCGGTCACAACTTGTTTCTTATGTCAGTCATAGTACTGATATTTTATTTTATAAATCTTCTGGGTTATTTATTCTTATTCAAGAGGTCAAAACTTCTGTGTAGTTGCTCCTGCTGTAGTTTATCTCGCTGCCCGCAGGGGTACCTGGAGTTATGTTACACTTTATTTCTTTAGACATTTGAATTCATATCAAAACATAGAAGTAATACAAGGAAAACACATCAGCGACTGGACTGAAATGGCTAGAATGAATTAGAGTTTACAAGGCGATGTCAAGTAAAAGTGTTTACTGTGTTTTTAGGGGCAGCTGGAGTTCAATCAGTCAAACTTTATTTATAAAACACATCCCATACAAATACAATTCCAATGGCTTCACTGCAGCTGAAAGAATAAGGAAGGGAGCACATTAAAAATGCAAATGCACACCAACAATAATATAATTAATTATAAAACAATCAAAAGAAAAAAAGCAAACTAAGATAATCAAAAATTACTAAACATTAACAGTCTAAATATTAAAAAAAGGTAAAGGTTAGAAAGGTAAAAAGGTATAACTGAGTAGAAGTTGGCTGTACACACTTAAACTTTCGTCATGAAGTCACTTTTATTTATTTTTTTCTAGCTGCATTTATGGTTGTGTAATCATAACACAAGGTATGTTCAGGACCTTTAATCCATCATAAACCTGTACTAAAAAGTGACACTTAATGCAGGAGGGAAAGTAGGTCATGGTTTATTTATTCATTGAGCCGTTTAGGATTACAGCGAGCTTAGTTGATCAAATCCCATTTACCTTTATTTGTGTGGAAGTTAACTTCACTGTCAGTGTTCACAATATGCTTCTTCAGAAGTAAAGAAACCTGGCTTGCAAGTGATCATTAGAGTGATGTTATCTCTTCTTAGAAATAAAGAAAAGATATACCATATCTAGGGAGAAAGTTGTTTATTAAAAACACTATATTTTCAGAGTTTGATGTCAAATTAAGTTTATCCTTGCCCTCATGTTGATTTACACCTGCAGTAATTCCCTGTCAATGTTGCATTGATATTGCAGCAAGCACAATCACATACAAAAGTATGTCCAGTGTAAGTTGAAGAACATGTGACTTACTGACTTGAAGCTGTTTGTCTGTTAGACAATAATGAGCAAAGTTTACTGTCTAAAACCTAGATATGAATGACATTGACTGAAGCAAGCAGTTTAAAGATGCCACTGTGAAATTATAATGTGATGAGCATGAAGTATTTTGAATATTTCTAATGCTGGTAATTCAAATATTACAAAGATAATGCATTAAACAATAAACAGCTTTGAATTGGAATGAATCAGAGTGTGCCCCTGCTTCAATGTGGACTTAATTCAGTGTTCTCTTCTTCTCCAGTCTGTGGTTAAAGGTCACAGCAGCAGAGAGGAGGAAACAGAGGAGACATAGACAATGATAATGCAGCGCATCCTTTGTAACGGGTCGCTGCGCCGCATCGCGGCAGTCCGACCTTTGCTGGTTGGTGTCAACGCCATGGAGCCGCCAGTAGCATTTTGTTGCTGTGCCCTCCGCCTATCACTTCCACCACCCTCAGGCCGTTGCATGCTGTCAACTTCAGCTAGCAGCAAAGCAGCACACCAGCCAAAACATCAGCCACCGCAGGAAGATCCACAGTCCACTTCTGCGCCTTCAACACAGGACAGCCATAGAGAGGAAGCTGTGCCTGATATTGCAGAGGTGGACCCCCTGCAGGACAAGTCCATTGGCCTGTTCCAGAGGTTCAAGAGAACCTTCAAACAGTATGGGAAAGTGATGATCCCTGTTCATCTGGTGACGTCCTCTGTTTGGTTTGGAACCTTCTATTATGCTGCTATGAAGTGAGTCTTGTTTTGATTTGTATCTCTGCAAGTGTCCTCCAAATCGATACCTGATCTGCTCTGTTTTAGGGAAACTTTGGCCTCTCAATAATACTGCAATGTTTTGATGCTTTAAAGAAAGGGTGGGCGATATGGGAAAAAGTTTATCATGATATATATTTTTTCATATCAGTCAATATCGATATGTATAGTGGATATAAATAGTCTATGCAACTGCCAGGTTTTAGAGATGTAAGAAAATGACAGCAAGATAAATATTTTCACAACTTTTTCTACCTTTAATGTGACCTATAACCAGTACAAGGCAAATGAAAAACAAACTGAAACCTTTAAGGGGAAAAATAAAAAACAGAAAAGTTAAAATAACCTGGTTGCATAAATATGCACACCCTTAAACTAATGCTTTGTTGCAGCACCTTTGGCTTTTATTACAGCACTCAGTCTTTTTGGGTAGGAGTCTATCAGCGTGGCACATCTTTATGTGACGATTTTTGCCCACTCTTCTTTACAAAACTGCTCCAAATCTGACAGATTGCGAGGGCATCTCCTATGCACAGCCCTCTTCAGATCACCCCACAAATGTTCGATGGGATTCAGGTCTGGGCTCTGGCTGGGCCATTTTAAAGTCTCAATCTTATTCCAGTGAAGCCAGTCTTTTGTTGATTTAGATGTGTGCTTTGGGTCATTGTCGTGCTGAAAGATGAAGTTCCTCTTCATCTTCAGCTCTGTAACAGAAGGCCCAAGGTTTTGTGTCAACACTGACTGGGGCTGTTTTTCTTCAGCTGGACCTGTCGCCTTAGTCAGGGTGGATGAAATTATGAACAGTTCCAAATACCAAAGTATGATGCTGCCACCACCATGCTTCACTGTGGGTATGGTGTTCTTTTGGTGATGAGCAGTGTTGATTTTGCGCCAAATACACTTTTTGCAATGATGCCCAAAAAGTTCAACTTTGGTTTCATCAGACCATAACACATTTTCCCACATGTGTTTGGGAGATTTCAGATGTTTTTTTGCAAAATTATGCCGGGCTATGATTTTTTTTGTTTTTTTTGTAAGTTAAGGCTTCTGTCTTGCCACCCTACCCCATAGCCCAGACATATGAAGACAGCGGGAGATTGTTGTCACATGTACTACACAGCCAGTACTTGCCAGAAATTCCTGCAGCTCCTTCAGTGTTGCTGTCGGCCTCCTGGTAGCCTCCCTGACCAGTTTTCTTCTTGTCTTCTCATCAATTTTGGACGGACGTCCTGTTCTTGGTAATGTCACTGTTGTGCCATATTTTCTCCACTTGATGATGACGGTCTTTACCGTGTTCCATGGTATATTTAATTCCTTGGAAATTCTTTTGTAGCCTCACCTGACTGATATCTTTGAATAATGAGATCCCTCTGATGCTGTGGAAGCTCTCTGCGGACCATGGCTTGTGCTGGAAGATGTGGACACTACAAAAATGTCAGGAAAAGCTACTAGAACAGCTGAACTTAATTTGGGGTTGATCAGAGGCACTTTAATTGGTGACAGGTGTTTGCTGACTCCAATTTAACCTGAGATTGAATGTTATTGGTTAAATCTGAACACAGCCACATCCCCAGTTATAAAAGGGTGTGCACACTTATGCAACCACATGATCTCAGTTGTTTATTTTTACTTCACCTCCCTGAAAGATTTCGTGTTGTACAGGTTATAGGTCACATTAAAGGTGGAAGAAGTTGTGAAATTATTTATCTTGATTTAATTTTTTACATGACAAAAACCTGGCAGTTGAACGGGGGTGAGTAGACTTTTTATATCCACTGTATCATGATATAAAAAATCACTTGTTAATCTTAAATGTTTCCTGTTACTCTTGAATAAAATTTAAAATGTACTAGTAATAATTTGCAGTGCATATTACTCTGCTTCATGTGCGACTTCAAAAATCTAAAATACCTCCACACCACCGATGTTTTCGTGCCAGTGTTATCAGCAATGTCATCATCTGTTGAGCCTTCATTTCTGCCGGGGGTCGCACTTGTTCTCTTTTCTTCTCACCGACAGTGCTGTCAGCTTCATGTGTTAAAGTGCTGTTGTTGCGTGTAGCTGCAGCCTGCTACTATGCAGTTGTTTGCTACTTCAAATTCAAATTCAGCACATGATTGGTTCAGCGTGGCGCAGACCCAGAGCAACTCCCCTTTTCATTGGCTATTCGTGTGGTTATCGAAAAGGATATTGACCATGTTTCAAAATGATATTGAGGGAAATTAATTTTTCATATCATTATCATTTTATCGTCCCGCCCTACTTTAAAATTGTACAGATTGGATATTTCCTCTAAGGCCTACTAGCAGAAGAATTGAGGTACTGTGACCACTAAAGTCTTTTCCTTCTCGAGCAGCTACTTTCCTTTTTTATTTATTTTTTAATCTAAATACAGTTCAGTGTTGTCAGTGCTCAGCATCAACAGAGTAAAAAACACCCCCAGGATCAGCTAGTTTAGCTGTGGCACTCTGTTTAAAATGGTTCAACTTTTACGAGACCACTTTGTCAGCTCATGATCCCAGTTAATCAAAGTGAGACAGCACTCATGATATTGCATTTATCAACAACAGCCTGCACAGAGAAGAACTGAACCACACACACTCACCCTTTTTGGAGGCTCAGCTTCCAGATGTAGAGCTGCTACTCTTTCTATTAAATGTTGAAATGTTTTTTCTTTTTCAAATACAATTCAGTGAAAGCCAATATGAAGCATGTTAACACAGACGTAAAAGTAAGCATCATTGAGAGGTGCTCTGAGATTAAGGTCACAGGTGCTGTGAGTGCAAATAACAGTGTTAGTGGACATGACTCCAGTGCTGGTTTTAACCCTTTGATGCATTATTTCCCACCAGAAAGATGAGTCAAGTATTTTGAGCAGCACCGTCAAGCTCTTTCAAACAAAAACACAAGCACACTCACCCAAAGAGAGGTCTGCATGAGCTGGGAAGTTTGTGTGTGCCTCATGCTCAGAACTCTACACTTCAATAATGGCAGCTTGTACTCATTGATCTGAATGTTCATTTCAATTTTCATTCCTTTTTCAAGAACAAAAGTACAGTTATAAATAAAATAAAAAAATCCTATTTGGCACTTTTCCACTGTTCCTTAAACCATGTCCCCTCTGATCTTTATTCCTCATAGAGGTGTGAATGTCGTGCCATTCTTGGAGATGATTGGTCTACCAGAGTCGATTGTTGGCCTTTTGAGAGACTCCTCAGGAGGCTACGCTCTGACTGCCTACGCCATGTACAAGGTAATTCCTCCAAGATCTCTGCTTTTTAAAGGTGCAGTGTGTAGAACTGGGGATATCTGCTAAATATGACACTATCTGCTAGATTGCTTCTTTGGTCCCCCCCTATGTTGGTGAGGCTATGGTGGCCAGGTGAAGTCAAAAAGACTGTTAATTATTAAGTATTATCCTTCATTTTTGAAGTGTTTGTCTTTTGTCAGGTGCAAAGTTAATTCCCCAAACACAAAAAAAACATCTGTTACTATTTTGTCTGCTCTGTGCCACTGTAGAAACATGTTAGAGCAGGATGGTGTCCTCTATTGCGGGGGATCTCTTCCTCTCAGAATCATTTGATGTCACCAATAACAAAATGTTTGTAATATATAAACAAATGTAAATATACTCACCAAATTTTGCTGGTTATTCACCTTCAAGACATTTTTACAATAAGTATTAACCCTATTAAAAAAAGTATTAAAATGTGTCAGCAAGAGTGTAATTAAAGGCAGATTCAAGTGTCTCTGTATGGACATGTTGGATTCAGGCGTCATTCTGTGTTTCCGCAGATTGCAACTCCTGCTAGATACACAGTGACTCTGGGCGGCACATCACTCTCTGTCCAGTATCTCCGCAAGCATGGCTACTTATCCACACCACCGCCGGTTAAAGAATACTTCCAGGACAAAATGGAGGAAACAAAGGAGAAACTGACAGAAAAGATGGAGGAGACAAAGGAGAGATTTTCTGAGAAAATGGAGGAAACTAAAGGACGGTTCTCCGAAAAAATGGAAGAGACCAAGGACAAGCTGTCTGGGAAAATCCAGGAAACCAAAGACAGAGTCACAGAGGGGAAGGCGTTTTTTCGAAAGAAAGGTGATTAGCTAAGAAATATTTTACTGGTGCCGCCTCTGAATGTTCCTTTTTTGATCCCGGCAGTAATCAGAGGGTATGAGCAGAGATCCAGGGGGCACTGTGAGGCCACTTGGGAGCATTGGAGAGACCCTTGTCCTAAAATTTCACCTTGCACTTCCGAGTTATCACCTCTTGTCTATTTCAGTGTAAAAACCAGTCCCTTACTGTCCAAACTTTGCCACTTTGCACTGTAAGTGTAGACTAGAGAGCAGCTTAGCAGACTCCTGGTATAATGCTGCAGTCAAAGTCGAACATCTCAGATTGGATTTACACTGGCTCAAGTGATCCAGACTTGAATTCTTAGCTGGCTGTAAGGTAGCTGTTTGATAAGAAGCTGTGTTCACGTTCATGCATGAGAGGAAGCAGAGCCTGGGCTTCAAAAGAATACAGAAAATCAATGTGCCTGTATGATATAGTAAGGCTGAATGGGAGAAAGCAGCACTGATCCTTCAGAACTTGAAGCTCATGGTGACCTGTGTGTAAGTCCATCAAAGCCTTTCTGAAGGCTGGATATCACTTTGTGTCTTTTCTAATGCAAGGAGGAGAGAAATTAAGTTTTTCTAAAATATTTTTAACTGATAGCCCGTGCTAATATATTACATCATTGTTCCACTTCATGTGTTGACTGAAAGTTGTGTATGATGTGACAAAGTCCGATTGTTTGCAAGCTTTTCATGGAGCAGATAAAATCATGACATCTGCATGTTTACATGTGATGAGTTCTCAATCATACAGTAAACATGCAGCAAAACATTCAGCGTGTGTTCACAGCAGACACACTGTGTGTCTCACAGGGGCAGTGTGTAACAGGAAACGTCTTGGGTATTTTGGTGATAGAAATATGTTGTCTTCAGAAATTTAAACAGATGTCTGGTTCAAGCCACAACTGAAATAAAGGAAAATGCAGAACATAGCGTTTGTGTGCTTGTTTTGTGGCAGTTTTAGACTCATGCTTTGTAGACTAAAGCTCTCAAACTGTTGAATTAAACTTTCACTGATAAATTTGTAATGCTGAGATAAAAACACAAAACTCTGGGTGGGCTTGTGACACATCCTGGTCATCATAGATGTAAAAAGGTAATGAAAGTCCTTGCAGACATAAAGACATCTTAGAAAGGATTTAAGGTTTCTCAAGATAGAACCTTATGAGAGCAGGGGCCTATTCTACGAAGCAGGATTACTGCTTAGCGAGGTAACTTTGAGGGTAAATTCGGGGTTTCCTGTTCTACGACGTGGGTTCACTTCTTAGCGAGGCGAGTCTCCATGGCAACGTACACTGAACAGCTAACCTGCTCCGGGGCAGGTTAAGTTCAGATTGAACTCACCGAGTATAAAAACCCCGCCCACTGACTAATGAGCTCTCTCGAAAAATGACGTTACAAACAGCTTCACAAACAGGAAAGCTCACAATATAGAAGTATAACAGGGAGACAAAATAGCAAAATATATTCAAAAAAGATGACACAACTAAAACAGGAAATTATAAAATCACAAAAGCGTGACTAAAAACAGTGGCTGGACAGAGGAAACTACAAATTAAACAATAAGTACCCTAAATAAATGAATCAATAAATAAAAGAGGGCTATTTAATAAAGCTCTGTCTTCATAGGTGATGAAGCTCATTGAGATCCACAGGCAGGTTATTCCACAGTTAAAGAGCTCCAACTGCAAAAGCTCCAACTCCTTCAGTTTTTAGATTCAAGATGGGACCATCGGGAGGTTCCTGCCTGAAGATCCGAGGCTATGCACAAATTGGTATGGGACAGTTCTGATATGTATTCAGGGGCCAGACCATGGAGACCAGACCAAAGGTGATGAGTAAAACCTTCAAATCAACTCTAAAAGAAATGGTCGGTAAAACAGGAGTAATGCTCTCTTCTCTTAGTTTTAGTTTGAAGTGTAGCTGCTGAATTTTTTGGCTGTTTGGAGGCGATTTATCAATTCCTGATTTATTCCTGTTGAAATGCTTTTACAGTAATCTAGTCATGAGGAGAAAAAAGCATAAATAACTGTTTGGGAGTCATTAACATGCCTTTAACATATTTAACACATTCATATATTCTCAGATTTACTGTAAGCAATATGTTTGACATTCAAGACAGGGTGAGGAGATTTGATTTCTCTTTAACACACAGAAGGAAAATTCATCACTGTAGCTTGAACCCATTTTTGTCTAATTCTTCCTCTTTTTATTCACATAATCATGTTAAGTGAGACCCTTATAAACATTTTCTTTGTTTAATTCCTTCACTTCATGCTTTTCTTTGAAGAGAACTGACATTGATCTTTCTCTCTTTTCATATTTTATTGTTGTCTTTACACTGTTCTTCTCTTGCACTGCTCTTTCTACTTTACACAAGTTCTATAATCTTTATTTATTTGTTTTTGTACCCGGTATGTGTGAATGTGTATGTTGTGCGTAGTGCTGCTGTCGACAATTTTAATTTCCCCACTGAGGGATGAATAAGGGAATATCTAATCTAATCTTATTGTATCTAAACCACTGTAACAGTGATTTATAAATTAGCCCACTAAAATGCAACATAATCTAAAGAGTAATTTTTTCAGAGAGCTGTCCTCATTTTTTTTTAATTGTGATATAAAACAAGTGTGAGAACATGCACATTATTCAGTTTTCAAATGATATAAGTGCTTAAAAGCTTTAAAGACAGGCCTTATTTTGATGAAAACGACCTTTTCTTTGGAGGGTTTGTTATTGTTAGGATCTTTTTAAACAATGTTGCACCTCAGGATACACTGTATATGGAAATGTAATTTATTTTGCAAAGACTGTTTTTGAGGTGTCTACTCTCATATGATTGATATTTAAAGCATGTACAATACTTAATTGAATTTATGTATGAGTGGGACATGATGGTCATGTACTCCAGCAACAGGATGACACACTTAAAGGGATATTCTGGCATGAAATTAATTTAGGGTCAAACACACCGCAACACCTAGTTAGACACCCCTTCAAGAGATGGATGTTGCCGACTGCTTACTTCTCTAGTTATACCAACTTTAGTAACGACCGCAGGATAGCAATACACAGTGCTCTGAGGAGCCATAAACAAACCTCAACCAAAAAGTCACTCTATAGCCACAAATAATGCTCAGAACAGCACCTAACTTTATCAACATTACATATAGGGTCCTAGCCATAGTACGAGCCATCAAACATCTTTTTAATTTTGCCTAATTTCTTTAGCAAAGAGAATAAACACAACTCACCCCCTCTCCTCCAGCAGCTGCTTGTTTGTAGCAAGACCTCAGGCCAGTCCATTACTGCAGCGGGGTGACGCAGCTCAAGGAAGAACATTTATGATCATTACTTTATCATTCCCTTGAAGTAATAATCACAGTATTAATCATTTTGCACTGCAGACGAGGTAGTTCTTCTGCCTTAGCGTCTCGGTCTGATTGCATTTCCATGAAGAAATGGTTTGGTTGGTTGAGGTTTGTTTATGGCTCCTCAGACTGCTGTGTACTGCTTTCTGCGGTCGTTACTAAAGTTGGTAAAACTAGAGAAGCAAGCGGTCGGCAGCAATCACTTCTCTAGGGGGTGTCTAACTCTGTGTTACGGTGTGTTTGACCCTAAATTAATTTTATGTCAGAATATCCCTTGAAATGAGTTAAGCGTATCATCCTGTCAAAGTTAAAGTACCAATAAACACCAATAAAAAGTCCCCATTTACTGACCAATGAGGACAAACAGTCACATGAGTGTTGGTGTTATTCCCACAGAAGCTCTAACAGCACTGGTTTTAAAGCTCAAAGATTTCTCATCAGTACCAGTTCACTCTAACTGCTGTCAGTTATTTGATCTCCAGAAGCTTTGACAGAAAAAAGGGGGATAAACAAACTATGGACATCGTGTTTGTCCAAGCTGGGGAACATAAAGGAGCACAGGGCTGGAGGAAAGCTTACAGGGGTCTTGCCACCAGGGGGAGACATGAGGGCAAGTAGCAGACATGTTCCTCCTGAGGACATACCATAGACTGGACATACTCAGTTCTGATGTGATCAATGGAGAGTTAAGCACTCAGGTGATCAACTTCGTTACTGACAGATAAAGTTCTTCTCATCACATCCATACTTATTTGAAGGGTCTTTGTTTAAACATTGTTGAAGATTGTTATAATTTGTGGACAGATGTGTCAGTTCGTGGAAAGTCAGACAGTTACATCCTTTTTTGTAATTCTGGGTAAGTCCCACAGAAGAGTCTGCAGAAATGAGGACTCATAGACAGATCATAAAGTCTGTATCAGGGCCCCTGCACATTTGATGAATTTGCCGTTGACAGTGTTAGATACTCACATAGTGAGTGGGTCTCTAAGCCTGTTAGTCAGTCTGTGGGTTTAGAGGTTTGGACCGGGGGAAAAAAAGTCCAAGATCTCTAAACCCTGAACTGAATGAGACCTTAACATCCTACTTAAAGGTAAAGGGTTTTATTTGGTGGTTTCTTTTTCTTTGACAGCCTCAAATCAAGAGTTTCAGTTGCCAGAGGGTCAAACTTTTATAACTCACCGGTTGTCAGAGCTGGTCTCTCTGCTAAGATGAACACATCATTAGAGACAGAATAAGTGTGTCTACAACTGTGGGGAAAAAACACGTGTGTAGAGAATAATTTCTGGCCAGGAGGAGCGCAAAGAGAGAAAAGTTTCAAACAGTTTACTCTTGACTCTTGACTCTTCACCCTTACTGGCAAGAAGATTCCACACAATGCACACCCATTATTAGCTCAATATTCCTCCAAAACTGTTCATGGTCATTGATCAGTGAATGATCAAAAATTACAATACCTATCAAAACTTGAAATAATACACAAATAGACAAGATTTGTGTTGACATTTTAAAGTTTAAATGAAGTCTCCAGGTGAAAGGGGCCCTGAGTAGTAGACATTTGAAAAACTCCAATAATTGCTCTTTTTTTTTGGCTTGTCCCATTGACATCTGAACATTTTT